TTGCCTAGGGCTGCATAGCTACTGCAAGAGCCAGATTGAAACTCTAGTTCATTTTCATAACAAACACCATTTTTTTTTCTCTCATTGACTAGTACCAAAATCACCTCCCCTGGCTCTGCTTCCCATGGAAATATCCTCAAAGTTTCTCAGGTATGTGGTGGGTGGTCCCTCTGCTGAAAGCTGGGTCCTCTTGTGAGTACTCTCAGGCTTTAAGAAGATCTTTAAATTCTCTCTTCCCGGTAACAGCGGTTTCTGCAGAGCTCCTCTCTTAGGACTGTACTCCACTTAAAAAGTTACTCACAGAAGAGGCATCTCCAGCTTCCAGAGCTTTCTCACTAAGTAAAGCACCCAACTTCCACGACTATGCTCCTTCTGTTGCCCTCATTTGCCCATGTGCCTACTCCTTTCTAACTTAGACAACAGGCAGAACCGTGTATCCCAGACTTGTTGGTTTCAGAGCAGATCCTCTCAGCTTTGATCCTGGGGATCCCAGAACTCTACCTGGAAGCTATATTCTCTTGGGTGCCTGGATCTTCCAGCTAGAAAAAGTTAACGAGGAGGAAGACAGTACCAAAAGGAATGACATGCACCATTTAGCTCAACAACATGTAACATACGTGAAATTTGTCATAGTGAATACAAAGGATGACCTTTGGACCCAGACACACCAGGGTGTGAATTCCAGCTCCATCACTTCCTGGCTTGTTAACTTCAACCCATCTCAACTTCAACCCATCATCAGCTTGTTTCTTCATCTTTTGAAGGGAATTTTGATACTCACTTTTCAGGTTCATTGCTAAATTAATATCACAGAACATCCATAAATCAAAATCTTGGCCACATGGTCTAGAGTGGTGACAAAATAGAATATCTTCTTTACTGGATCACTCCATTCCATTTTATATTGCAGGGGAAATTGAAGCTTCAAATTGTTAAGAAATGTGTGGAGGTGGGGCAACTATTAATTACTGGGCATGAGAGAGACACACAGATGCTCCCTTCACCGTATTGTGCAGAAAATCATGATGGAAAATAACTTTCATTGAACTCAGTGAATATTGGCAAAGAAACACGTTGTCTAAGAAGTCAACTCTGAACATCGTCAACCAAGGCCGCAACAAACCATAGCTCTAAATAAAAATAATCCTTTTGACAAGACACTGTGATGTTGTGAGAGTGTTAAGCTAGGGAGACATGAAGCTTTGAATTCAAATACGAATTTCACTTTGAACTTTCATTTTGGCTTCTATAAAAAGGACATATTAACTGCCTCCCTCCCCAAGAGTAAATGGGATAACAGTTAAATAGGCTTAACACAGAGCCTCTCTCATAGACTGTACTCAATAAATATGACATGTCTTAACCTCATCCCTTTCCTTCGGACTCCAGGAAAAGTTAAATGCCAACCTCCCTAAGCAGAGATTAAATTTCTACCAGGAAAAATATTTTCTCTCTCTCTCTCTGATAGTTTTTGGTTGCATTTTGGTGGATGGCAGTTGATGGTTGCATCAGCTAGCTTTCAATGCATAACAGTGCACCCCAAACTTTCATACTTTAAACAACAATCAATTGTTTTGTTCACAATTCTGCAGGTCAACAACTCCAGCTAGGCTCATGTGAGTGGTTTGTTGTTGTTTTTAGCTAGGCTTATTTATTCATCTGTGGCTGGTGCCCAGTCAGCTAAGTGATTCTGCTGAGGGCCAAATGTCTAGGATGGCCTCAGCCATATGTTGGAGTTCCCCGCTAGCTTGAGTGAAGGGGATGAATGGGCCATGGGTCTCTCATCATCTGGCTAGCTGGGACTTCTTCATGTTGCTGTCACAGTGTTTCAAGAGCAAAAAGAGAGGGGAAACTCCAGTGTGCAAGCAGTTATCAATTCTCTCCTGGCTTCACATTTGCTATTGTCCCCCTGGGCAAAGCAACGTACATGGCCAAACCCAGCAACAATATAGGACGAGATACAGGCTGGCATGAACAAATTGCGGTTTTTACTTTAGCAGTCTACTACTAGACTGATTCATGAAGGACACTGTGCATCATTGGAGAAATACTTAAATATGGATAAACCATACAGTGGCTTGTTATACTCTTAGAAATGCTTTTTTACCCTTCTTTAAAAATGTCATAGCTACTTTTGCCCTATTACCATAAAAGGTGAATAATAAATACATCCTACAAGATTCTGAGAAAAAAAACCTAATCTGAAAATGTTGGGGGTATTATATTAACCCCGTAAGTTGTGGATCTCCTTATTTAGAAACAGGGTATGATTATGCCTGTAAGTGTCCAGCTTATACCTCTTTCCATATTATTAATATGATGTTCCTATTCCTCTTCCTTGCAATAAATATGCCCCCAGCAGAGACATATGGCATAGGCATGGTGTGATGTGGAAGTGATGGAATAGATGAGAAAATGGCACCTGTGGTGAGAGGAGATAGTACCTGGCAAGTGGGAAGTAGACCTGCCATGTGGTTGGAGCCCGTTTGGACCACTCCTCCCCCCCAGACACCAGAGCAATCTCCTAGCTTTGCTAGAGTGCCTCTTCATTCATTCAAGTCCTGTTTCAGAACTCTGAGTAGATGTTTTATCATTTTCTACTGCAAAGTCCTAATCATATGTTTTCAGATCCCTTGGTATTTTATTTGTGTTGTTGTAGTTCATATTGCCAAGTCGCATGTCATCATTTCCCCATTTTATTTTCTACGTGATTAACGCTGCTGTGCATGAAAACTATTGATATTTTAATATTAATATTTCATACCTACATTTCCAGGAATTTATTTTTACATTTTCCTTAGGTGGTTCCCAAAAATATATTCATATCATCTATAAATAATGACTCTTTTTACGATTATGACAGACTTTGTTCTGTTTACAATCTCAGTACACTAGAAAGAAATTCTAAAACAAAACAATAATATTGGTGATAATAGGCATATTAGTGTTGCTCCTGATTGTCATGGAATTTTTCCTAGTTGTTTAACATCCTTTGTGTTTGTGAGTATGTGTATCCTGAGGAATACAGCCTGATAAATGTACTTTCTTTGTATTTAGCCATCGGTGCTGAATTCCTTCAAATGCTCTTTGGTCATCCATACATCTTTAATATATGGTCAAGACAGTCTATAATAAAGACATCTGCACTCGAATGTTTATGGCAACATAATTCACAATTGCAAAGATATGGAAACAACCTAAGTGCCCATCAATACATGAGTGCATTAATAAAATATGGTATATGTATACCATGGAATACTACTCAATTACAAAAAACAATGGTGATCTAGCAGCTCTTACACTATCGTGGATAGAGCTGGAGCCCATCCTTTGAGGTGAGGTATCACAAGAATGGAAAAAGAAGCCTCACATGGACTGTCCATCAAATTGGTACTAACTGATCAACACTAAGGTGCTCACATGGAAGTAATATTCATCGGTTGCTGGTCAGGTAGGAGGGGGTCGTGGGGGTGGGTTAACTCACAACTAATGGGTGAGGAGTACACTGTATGGGGGAAGGGCATACTTGTAGCTCTGGCTTGGGTGAGGCAAAGGCATTATATGTAACAAAATGTTTGTACCCCCATAATATTCTGAAATGAAAAATAAAAAAAATTATGGTCAGAAGCAGTAGTATTTCTACTAAAGTCATTTTATGTCTCCATTTTATCATTTTGTTCATATATGATCCGTACCTTTTCATCCTATCATGGTCTAAATAGTGCAGATGTTCCTTGCTCTTGGGAATAGAATCATTTTTATTAGTGATTCCAGATGCAAATGGAGTCGAGCAGATCCTGGGAAAATGAACGTAATTGCCTGAAAATTGGACTGTATATTTCACCACTATTTTCCATTTACATTTCAGAGTCCATTTTCCCATGAAGAAGGGATTATTTCATCGAAAAAGAAGTTTTGTGTGATGCCCCTTGGCTGATGGCAACAGAGCGTCAGTAAGAGACAGAGATGCTTAAGTTTCAATAGGACAAAAGTTAGGGGACATCCGAGGTCTTCTCTATCAGGTACTCTATCAGATGAGGGGAAGACTAGGAGAACTGAAAAGGAGAGGGACGGCTGAAGGTGGTTAAATTTTGACTGTGGGGTGTCATTTCTTGGCCAAGGGGCAGGATGATCAGACAGGTGAGGGAGTACCTAGTGGCCTTGCTGGAGTCCCAAGCCAGGACACTTTTAAAAATCAAAATGTAAACTATGAAGGGAATTCCATGTGCACATTTTCCCAAACCCCAAGCGGTGCTTACAGATGAGAAAGACAGAGAAGGGTGGAGTGTGTGGACTGTGGGGAGTCTTGGGATTTAATACCGGATGAGTTGGGGTGGTTTTCCAGTTGTTAGGTGTGTATGAATCAAAGTGCAAATGGCTGAAACAAGTAGGTGAGGAGTTTACGGATGAGGAAGCTGAGGAAGAGAGGTTAGGTAAGATATAAATAGGGGTTTCAGAAAAGCTTTAAGTTACAGGCCGTGTCCGGATGCTAGGCAAAGGGGAGAACCTGTTGAAGAAATAAAACTGCAAGATGTGACTCAGCAAAGGTGAGGTCCTATTTTGTCATGAATCCCTTGGTCATTTTGACGGGGGGGGGCCATGATTAAGCCAGAAGTGTTTCATCATGGGGGATGATGATGACGAAGCCCTTGACCTTGCGGTGTGTGAAAGGATTGCGTGTGTGCTTCGTGCGAGGCAGTGGGCAGGCTGAGGAGAAACGTCTGGCCCCGCCACAGCCCGGTTTGGCTGAAAGGCACACGTGGAGACTCTTGGCCAGAGTCCCAGTGCGGCGAATTTCACTCAGGGAAGGAGGTTTCCAGCTGGAGAGGTGCGGGGCGCTTGCGCAGTGGGCCTGAGGCATCGCGCGCTGCGGGAACCCGGAGACCCCCGTCCCCTCCCCTCGCCCTTCACTGTGAGCGCGCACGTGAACGGGACCGCGAACGCGCACGTGGATGCGCCTCACCTCGCTCAACCCCTGCCCGGCGACCGAGGGAGGGAGAGAGACACGCTCGCGACACTGGGGTGGGCCGGGTGGAGAGTCCCAGGCTCGCGGCGGCAGCGTCTCCTCTCAGGCTGCGGGCTCGCGACCCTCCGTGCGGAACCGGCGACCGCCCCAAGGGCTGGCTGACTGACGCGCCTCGCTGCCCCCGCCCCCGCCTCCGCCCCCGCCTCCGCCTCTGCCTCCGCCTCATCTTAGCCTGAGCTGCCGGGCTCGCAGGCTGAGGCTCCGCTCTCTCCCTGCCCTTCGCTTTGGCCCTTTCTCTTCCCAGCACCTCGGCTGTTCGGCAGCGGCGGCGGTGGGAGTCAGCGGCGGGAGGAGGCGTCCCTGAGGATGAAGTGCAAGCCGAACCAGACGCGGACCTACGACCCGGAGGGGTTCAAGAAGCGGGCGGCGTGCCTGTGCTTCCGGAGCGAGCGCGAGGACGAGGTGCTGTTAGTGAGTAGCAGCCGGTACCCAGACCGCTGGATCGTGCCGGGCGGGGGCATGGAGCCCGAGGAGGAACCGAGCGGTGCGGCGGTCCGAGAGGTGTACGAAGAGGCGGGAGTCAAGGGGAAGTTAGGCCGGCTCCTGGGCGTATTCGAGCAGAACCAAGATCGCAAGCACAGAACGTACGTGTATGTACTGACTGTCACTGAGCTGCTGGAGGATTGGGAAGATTCGGTTAGCATTGGGAGGAAGCGAGAGTGGTTCAAAATCGAAGATGCCATCAAGGTTCTCCAGTGCCACAAGCCCGTGCATGCCGAATATCTGGAAAAACTAAAGCTGGGCGGTTCCCCAACCAATGGAAACTCCGTGGCCCCGACCCTGCCAGATAGCGATCCCTAGTATGTACCGCTCGCGCACAGACTTCTGATTGTCCGCTTCCCTTAAAACCAGCCCTGCCTATAGCACCTCTCTTGCCATGTGCGGTCTCACGGGGAGCAGGGAGGCTTCTTTTGTTTCCTTGGCAGACCTCTGAATCACGCTTGCAAACTGTCTCAGTTGCCAGGCACTGTTTTCAGACAATTTGCACGTTTTTCAGATGTTTTCAAAATTGCTTCTTCGGTACACTGTAAAATGTTTCGGTAAGCCGGAGCTGTTTGCGATTGCTTTTTAAAGGTGCCTTAACTGCTAACCCTGCTTTTTTGGGGGGAGCGGGGGAGAAAGGGAGGCGTGTGCGTGAGCCCTGTGGTTTTTTTTTTTTTTTTTTCTTTTTTACAATTCACACATATTTGTGCGTGAGTGTGCGTGCGCATTTTTGAAACCAGTCTCGTGGGTTTATTTTCTAGCGGAGGCCTTTAAAGTCCTTCCAGCTCGGTTGTGTGAGCATCTCTTATTATTTTTATCCTTTAAGTTGTTTTCTCATTTAAAGCGTTCGCCCTTGTCAGGGAGCCCGTCTGTCCTGGGAGTTGGTTTAAAAGCTCAGTTTTGAATTAAAAAAAAAAAAAAAAACAAGCTTAGGAAATCATTTGCATCTTGTGCTCTTTCTGCACTTGACAGTAATGTTAGCTTCAGAAATGTAACCTGATAGGCCCTTTTCAGAAATGTCTTTGTCTATTTGTTTGTACATCATTTGGTTTTCAAAAAATGTTCACAACTAGTAAGTTTTCACTGCTGACTTGAAATGGTCATTTTTCATAAAGTTTAGCAAGGTTACTGCCTGATAGAGGAGATATTTCTGGGGCATTGCCAGCCAAACATATCTTGATATACATGTCTTATCACGGAAACTGTATTCATGGGATGTGATTTAGCATGCTGGACTTCCAACTCCCATGGCCCCTTATTGGACGCCCTAGAAGAACCATGGTTCTCTCAATTTAAATTCGTTTTTGACAGAAAGTTATAATATGTCCCATATTTTTATTTAGTGTCATTCCTGTTAAACTTCCCTGACTCCCAGTCACCACAGGCAACTGTAAGAGATTTCCAGATTCCAGACCACAGGACTGGAGTCTTTTGTGGTGATTGTATCCCAATTGAGTGAGTTATCTGTCTTGACATTCAGCTGTTACAAATGTCTCAAAGTGTTAGGACACCTGAACAGTCTCTGTTAAAGATTGAGGGTAATCGCTTAGCCTCACATGACAACCTTTTTGTGGGTGCCAAATTAAAATCTCTTACAGTTGCCTTGATGCTTGCTTGAAATCAGGAATTCCATCTAATAATATAACTAAGTCTCTCTTCTGAACTTTCTCTGTTCCCCCAGCCATGTCTAAAATTAGGTAGAAGGGAAGCCTACTTTGTGAAGAAGGTATTGGGGGTTGGAAGACCATTCTATATATAACACTTAAGCATTTTTACAACATTCTATGAATAATGAGTACAAAGTGGAAAGTAATGATTACTTAAAACAATTTTTTACTACTCAGTGACCTTTTTGAACACAATTACTGCTAAAAGTTTAATGGAGTCACTCTTTTAAAATTATTTTATGTTTGACTCATGTACAGTATACATACAGAACAATACATAACTCTTAAATGTATAGCTTAATGAATGTTTACTTAGTGAACACACATAGGTAACCATCATCTAGATCAAAGAATTAACATTACTTGTAATCCATAAGCCTACTGCATTCCTTCTCCTAATCATTACTCTGTTCTCCTGTGTTTTATACTATAGAATAGTTCTGGTTTTGAACTATATAGATTTTTTTTTCCTGCCCCGTTGTGAGCTTTGTGTATTTTACTGTTCAAAGCATTCAAGTATCTTTTCTCCATTTTGGTTGCATTGTAATTTCACATATTATTAATATTTTACATGCTGCTAAAAAGTGGGTGCCATTGCACTTTCTAAAGAATTTTTCACTGTTTTGAAAACAAATCTCATTACACATTTAAGTACAGATAAAGTAGAAGTTTTAGTACACAAAATATTTTCTGTACTAATGCTGTCAAAGGAAAGAGTGAGAAAATTAGTGGGTTTTTAAAACCAGTGACAGGCCGGGCACGGTGGCTCACGCCTGTAATCCTAGCTCTCTGGGAGGTCAAGGCGGGCGGTCATATCTTTTAAACATCATCAATAGGTATTCTGGATCACTTTGCTAACTTTTTTGGGTCGCTGTTATGCATTCTGTTATGACATTTTGGGTTTTGCTTCAAAAAGTCTAGATTCCTCTTGTAGAACTTACCTTCTCATGTGACAGTTGAGGAAAAGCCTACTTTGTGAAGAGAGCATGAGTAGGGGATATCTTTATACATATAACACTTAACATGTTAAAAGTATTCTACAGACCAATAATAAATATAAGTGGCTAATAGCTAATTTAAAAAATTTCTTATTCCACAAATTAGCTTTTGAACACAATCACTGCTAGAATTGAATAGCATTACTTTCTATATGATGCCAGAGTTTATAAAATAAGATCTTTGCCATATAAAAATATGTCTAAATAAAGTACATGTAGTTAAGAAAAATTAATGTTGTCAAAGGAATGAGTAGAAAATAGCTTTTAAAAACCAAATGTATAAGTTCATATTCTAAATTATGCAGCATTATCAGATATTCATAAAATTCATCTTTCTTTGTATAGAAAAACGTCATTTTTTAAATAAACTTTTATAATTCCACTACTTGGCTTTTCCTATTCTAATAATCCAAATTGAGCAAGATATTCTGAGTAACTTGAGATTCTTCAAAGTATACACCAACAGAAATGGATTATCTCTGTTACTTTATTTCATAAACTACCTCCATGTAAAATGCCACAAATACCTGGGAGGTTTAACTTATACGTAGAATACTTGGAGATAATAATGCACAATCTCATATTTTGACTTTTGAGCTATGTATTTGACAAATGTGAAAAGTACAGTGTTGATGGCAACCAACTTTTAAGAGTTGTTAACCTATACATATTTGCACAATATTATACGTATTGTGTTTGAGTAATACTACTTGTTAAGATTTTCTTCATCATCCAGATAGCTTCAGGTTATGCAATTTGTAAAACTCCCAAGGCTTTAATTCATAAATTACAATAGAACATTTTACAGTTAGCACACTATAAAGTAAACTTTCAATTCATTCAGGTAGTTCTTATTATATACTTCTGAAGTTCAGTCTAGAAAAAATTAAATGAAAAGGCCCAAATAGCCTTTCATTTTAAAAGAGTAATTCAAAAAGTAAAACAGTTGACACAGAGGTAAACTGAGGTCTATTACATCCACCCTCCAAACGTTTGATGCGTAGTTGAGATTTTCTCCTTACAGAGTCATTACTTAGTACCTATACATTATTTATGATGATTATAGTAAAAAGTACAGCTGAATTTTTCAGATCATAATCCCCCAAATATAAACAGTACACTGATCAAAGATAATTAAGACTTTCAATCTTGAAGTAGAAATTTGTTTTCAGCATGTTTTTTAAAAAGCTGATCCTTTTTTCCCACTGGACAAAGTGCCTTATCCTAAAAAGAGTTTGAAGAAGACATGTTGAAGTAAAGGTAATTTTGGTATGCTTGATACAGAATTTGTCTTGGGTGTCAAATGTATTATATATTTCTAGGAAACCTGTGTTCTGTTGATCAGATCAGTGTTGAAAAAAGTAACCCTGAAAGGAATGAGGGGTAGCTAGAAGTGTTTTTGTCTTTTTTTGTGGTTTCGTTTGAAAGAATTGTAAAGATTTCAACATCTTTGTATTTAGAAATGTCAATAAAAAATGAAGAGAGAGAGTATGTGTGTAAGAACAGGAACAGGCGGCTTGTGACCTAACAACAATATTAGAGAGCCCTTTTGGGACAGATGGTTTAAAGGGCTCTGAAGCTGGAGCTGCTCCTTCTCTCACTTGCCTTTAAGTGGAGTTCATTTATAAGAAAGAGCAGTTTCTCCCTCAGTAGTTAACTGGGGGTGGGTGGGAAGGAGGTGAAAATGCTGCTTTGAGCCTATAGTAGTAACAGCTGGCCAGAGTTTTCTTTTTCAGAGTTCCTTTTGTGGAAGCACCAAGCAAAACAAAACAAATATTTTCAGCATCATTCTAGTATTGTAACCATCTTTCTGAGTGATGTTGACCTATTAGAATATGAACTTTTTGAGGACTAGGACCCAGCCTGAATTCTCCCTATATCCACAGAGCCTGGAACAGTGGCTGTAATTTGGAGACATCTGTCATTTTTCCACAGATTAGAGATGTCTACTACCAGTGTATTCCTGATTTCTCAGCTTCATAATGTACCCGGGACAATCTGTTATTCCCTTGGGCTCTTCTCTTGCCTCACAGTGGAACTGCATTGGATAATTCACTTAAGGCTTTTCCAGTACAAAGTGGTTGATGAAGCATAGCAGGTCCTCAGATATTTGTTGACTAGAGGAATTGATGAACCAATAAAACCCTATTAATAAGATTGTTTTTTTTTAGGTGAATGGCATAGATGTTGTTCAGATTTACTTTGAAAGAATCAAGTATGTGAACCCAATGATGAATGGAATTGTGAAGCACAGGTGAGCTCTTTCACACTCCCAGGACTCAGCTCATCCTATGCTTTTGGACTTTTTCCCTGTTTGTTACAATGACTATTTTCCAGGTTGTTCCACTGGATCTGTATAGAATTTGGCACCTGTGGCCTTTTTTTGTGCTTTATGATTTATGTATGTATTTCCCACCAGATTATATGACCTTGATGCAAGGAACTTGTTTCCTTAGTCTTTTTATATAACTAACATATATGACATTGCTTAAAATATGGTAGACATCACTGAAGATTTGTTTTAAACATTAATATTTTGTAATGATACTGAGTGGTAAGACATTCCTCTTCTAATCTATCTAGCATATATGTGCCTCTTGTATATCAGGTGTTACACAACTGTTTCAAGGCAGGTGTGAGACATTAGAAAGCAAAAATACTTACTCATATGTCTGTGTCATCCCAAACATTATGTGCCTCAAGATGGCAGTACACTAGACCACCTATAAAATATATTTGCTAAGCCAGGCACAGTAGTGCGTGCCTGTAGTCCCACCTACTAAAGAGGCTGAGGTAGGATCACTTGAGCCCAGGAATTGAGTCCACCATGGGCAACATAGTGAGACCCCATCTGTGCATATGTGTGTGTGTGTGTGTGTGTGCACGCACACACACGTATCTGTCAAAATTATGAACCTAAATTTGATCATGCCTCTAGAAATAGAAATAATTGCTAATCTATAGAATATACAGGACACAGAAACAAATTACACCACAGAGTTGAGATTAGTAGAATCCAGACTGCAGGAAACTCTACAAATGATCCAGTTTCTTCAGCAAATAAATCGCAACGTTAATAGCAAAAGATGGAGGATGAACCTACAGATTAAAAGAGACTTAAGAGACATATTAACCAATTGTATGGATCTTATTTGGATCCCGATTTGATCAAACTGTAAAATGAATACATTTATGAGACAATCAGGGTAATTTGAACGTTGACTGGATATTTGATAATAGTTGGGATAATGGTATTGTGGTTATGTTGGAAATAAGTCCTCATCTTCATTCTCAAATATTTACAGTTGAAATATTATGTCTGGAATTTGATGTGACATGTGTTGGAGATATGATGAAACAAGATTGACCTTGATTGTTAAAGCTGGGTGATGGTTAAAATGATGGCTCATTATATATAATTCATCTCTACTTTTGTATGTTTGGCATTTTCCATAATAAAAAGTTAATAAAAATAATTATTGGAGTTCTTATGGTTAATATAGAAGGTAGCAAAAAGAGGAGGAAAAAATTTAGATTGTTTAAAAATATTGGCTCTAGGGTAGCACTTCTGGCCCAAGAGGTCAAATGTCCAAAAAGAGAGGGGAGACATACCATGGAGTGGCTAGTTGTTCCCTTGTTAGAGACCAATGTTAGGAGTCTTTTCTTTTAATTTGGTCCATCGAAATAAGAAAAGTTAAAGTCTTACTTATTCCTGCTGAAAAATGCGAATGGATTCTCATATGCTGTTGAGCAGGGTTTTTGACAATACCAGTTCATATCAATGTGAAAAAGCAAAGGGGTGGAGTCTCCAAGGAGCAAGTTTATGGAATTTTATAAAAATCCATATAATGCCATGCTTTGAATAGGTTTTTAGGGGAACAATAGCTGTAGACTTGTTACTTTAACATGAATTAAGTTTAAAGTTATATTTGAAGGTAAGTGAAATAAGAAAATAAGCAATAAACATTCCTGACCGCAGTGAACCATTTTGCATTTCACAGACTTCAGTTCTGTACTGTGCTTAGAATTCTGTAAAGGCTAAAACCTTCTAGATCAGAGTTAGTATAAAGCTGTGCTTACATCAACAGGCATGGGGGTCGGCCCTGACGTTTTTGTGAGTCAAGGAGCAGGTAGAAAGTAAGAACAGCATTGGAGGCCCCTCCTACAGAAGATGAATTCCTTCCTAAGTGTGAAAAACTGAAGATTAAGCTGCCCCTTTTACTCCTGCTCTCTGTGTGTTCAAATCCCAAGAGCAGGCAGTTGTCCAGAACCAACTGTTATCTGGAAAAGGGGAAGTGAAAGGTTTACCTTAGAGTCCTCTAACACTCGCAGCTAGGCAGAGCTTTCAATTTCAAGGTTCCCCTGTGAGAAGGCACCATGATAGACCAGGAAAGCTTTCTTCATCATTCTTTCCCTGGAAGTTATTTCCTAATTTGACTCTAATTGTAGCAGTTTTTATTTTTTTTAATTTGGAGGCAAGCAGAGCCAAGGGAACTGTAGGTGGTAGCAGTAAATTAAAAAGTAGCTTGGGATCCAACAGGCCATGGCTCTAAACTGCCTTGACCAGAGGCTGTATTGCTTCTGCCAAATGACCTTTCTAATCTTTGGTTTTCTCATCTGTAAAATGGGGATAATGGTAGCCCCTACCTTTGTAAATCACTGCTTCTGAGATGCCCTTCTTGATCCCCTGGGAAAAGTTGTAGTTTTGTGTTCCCAGGTACTGCATTGCTTTTTTATGTAATAGTTCTTATTATACATATTAGCCCAAATGTCTCTGCCTTCTAAATTCTGAGGTCCCTGGGCTCTGAGACCCAGGCTGGATTGTCTCTGTGTCCCCAGAGTCTAGTACAGAGCCTGGAACATGGTGCCCCACAGGTGTTCATCACGTTTATTATATAAATGGTTATCAAATGTTCTACTTGTCAAACACACATTGCTGTTATTTTACCAGGTATTTGTTTACAGGAAAATATGAAAAATGAGACACTGTAAGACTGGTCTGTGCTCAGGTTTCTCTTTATTGGGAAGAATATTTTATCTATAAATTATGCTTTTATTTTTCAGAATCTTCCAGTACCAATATATTCCTAACTTCTTAGCTTCATAAAATACTATGTGATACTCCCTCAGGTGCTAAACTGGCCCCACAACTATATTTGATAATTCACTGAAGGCTTCCCAAATACATATGAATGAAGGACATGGTAAGCCCTCAGTATTAATTTAGTGTGAGAACCTTGGAGTGAATACCAGGTAACTGTCCTAATTATATTATTTTAGTTTATGAGTAAAAGACACAGCAATTAGGATTATATGGTAATGAGCTCATATACACAAGACAAGGCAAAGGCCTGACTGATTTGACTGGTTAAGATACAAGTAGCCACTTTTATATTTAGACAATTTAGTACTTACATAAACAGTACAAAGAAGAATGAACCAAAGGGACTAGCTACCCAGGTCCTTGTCTCACATACCCTAAAAGACAACAAAGAAAAAGGGCTGGATGACTGGAACAAGTTATGGGATACTCCCTGTGGCTGAGAAGCCAAATCTACACTGTAGCTGAGTGGTTTTATATTCTGCGGCTCTATGCTGAAGAGCAAAAGACAGGAAGCCCCATACCACATCAGAAACTGGTAGGTGATAAGAAATTTGTTCATAACAGCCTCCCAGGAGAAACAGGAAAGTGACTGAGACATGGCCTTATAGTAGCTCCTTACAGCCTGTCATCATGTTCTGCAAGGATAACAAGACATTTAACCCAAACTCAGATTAGCTGCAGTTCAAGCCTATATGGGTACATGAAAGGGTGCCAGGCCACTGTGGAGGGGAAATTCCCCTACAACTCCGCTCTCCTTTCATACATCCTGCTAAGAATTCTTTTTCTACACATAGGCTATCTATTGTAGTCACTCTAAAGATACAAAATTGGACCTCCATGCAAACTTTGGTTCACATATAGAGACTGGTGATGCCAAACACACATCAACAGGGTATTCAAAATTTTATTACTCACATAAAGAGGCTTTTTGGGGAGAATAGGGTAGGTGTCCAAAGCTGGTCTGAAAATGGAAAGGAGACTGGCTTGAGCTTTTATTGTGTTTAGGGGTTGGGGCCAGGGTGAGGGTTCCAATGCGCAGTTAGGGTTTTGAAACTCCCTCCAGCATCAAAGGCAAGAGGACTCAGGGTTTTTATTGGCTTGCCCAGATATAAGGCTCAAGGAGAAGAGGGAGAGGGATAAGGCTTAAATGCTGTCAGTAAACATAAAAAAAAGTCTTTTTATTAAAATTTACCCTTGATGTTTGACAAAATGTACCATGTTTCTTTAATTGAATTTGAACAGGTTTAAATATGCCATTATAGTACTCTTTGAGGTCTATAGCCTGAGACCTGTAAGGAAGGTAAAAGTTCCATCAGTTGTCTTGTTCTAGAGCCCAGCATTGCATATGCTGAGAAGTGAAATGAATGACTTGGTCACAGTCAACCACGTCTGGAAATCTGAAGGTGATAAGGAATATCTTAATGAGGCCTTGTAATGTAGTTTTAGTATTTGTAAAGGCATGTGTGATATTGATTTATATTTTGGTATCTGTGAGACAAGAGATTCCCAGAGTTCCATATCCCCAAAGAGACAACCTTGGATAAGGAATTTATGTTGCTGCCATTGACCAAAGCAGACAACCAGATCATTGGCAATGATCTAAGGGTCTAAAAATTTGCAGAGAGAGCCAGTTGTTCACCAGAGCATCCACTGCTAATATGACAGCTTAAAGTTTGGCCAGTTGTACTGACCTTGGGTCCAGTTTTTTTGTCAAAGACATCCTAGTTAAGGGACAAAAAGCAGCAACAGTCCACTGAGCTCCAGTATATATGACTTTTTAATTTTTTTTTATTTTAGCGTATTATGGGGGTACAAGTGTTAAGGTTACATATATTGCCCATGCCCTCCTCCCCCCTCGAGTAAGAGCTTCAAGCGTGTCCATCCCCCAAACGTTGCACATCTTCCTCGTTGTGGTTGTATACACCCATCCCCTCCTCCCCCCTCCCACCCTCCTGACACCTGATAAATGTTACTCTCTATGTCCACTTAGGTGTTGATCCGTTAATACCAATTTGCTGGTGAGTACATGTGGTGCTGGGTTTTCCATTCTTGAGATACTTCACTTAGTAGAATGGGTTCCAGCTCTATCCATGAATATACAAGAGGTGCTATATCACCGTTGTTTCTTAAAGCTGAGTAGTATTCCATGGTATACATATACCAGATTTTATTAATCCACTCATGAATTGATGGGCACTTGGGTTGTTTCCACAGCTTTGCAATTGTGAATTGTGCTGCTATAAACATTTGAGTGCAGGTGTCTTTTTCATAAAGTGCCTTTTGATCTTTTGGGTAGACGCCCAGTAGTGGAATTGCTGGATCAAATGGTAGATCTACTCGTATCGCTTTGAGGTATCTCCATATTGCTTTCCACAGAGGTTGAACTAGTTTGCAGTCCCACCAGCAGTGTAGGAGTGTTCCTCTGTCTCCACATCCATGCCAGCATTTGTTGTTTGGGGACTTTTTGATAAAGGCCATTCTCACTGGAGTTAAGTGATATCTCATTGTGGTTTTGATTTGCATTTCCCTGATGATTAGAGATGTTGAGCATTTTTTCATATGTTTGTTGGCCATTCTTCTGTCTTCTTTTGAGAAGTTTCTGTTCATGTCCTTTGCCCACTTTTTTGATAGGGTTGTTTGATTTTTTCTTGCTGATTTTCCAGTGTATATGATTATGACAGAGTATTCATAAAGTGAACAAAGTCTCATTGCTCTTCATTCGGTTGATCCTACATTGTCCCCAGGTAGCCAAGGGGTCTGGGAAATAGGTAACCTTACTTAGTACCATGGCACTTGGTAAAGGACTGAGGACAGGGGAGGCATCGCCACTTGCAGTGTGATATGCCAGAGGGCCCAGGTTTGGCTCTATCTTGCAACGAAGTGGTTTTAGTGGCTGTGATGAGTTTGTAGGGTGCTGCTTCCAAGACCCAAGGTGTAACTAGCTGGAAACGAAGGGTCATGAGCTTAGAGCTTATGAGAGCCTCTATTTCCAGGAAATTCCTCTATGTAGCCAGCAATTTCCATTCTAACAATGTATAACATGAGGCCTAGGAGGTCAGTTTCTTGCATCAGAAGGCCGTGGGCAACTTAATGGCTGTCATGGGTGGTCCAAATACTGTCAGAGGCATGAGAGAAGGTTACTAAAGCCTTTACAGTGAAGGAGTCTCAGGGGCGGGGTGGGGGTAGGTGATGGCACTAATATGAGTGCCTATAGTATTACAATTTGAAAAAATTCTAGAGTCT